GAGGTCAGTCTACTAAAGCGGGAATCTCGTTGGACGGATTGAGGTCAAGCCACTGTTGGTTGAAGCGAGAATGGGGAAAATTTTGGTGCGTGTGTTTGAGCGCGCGTCAGTTGCGTCTGGCAGCCGTGGCGGTCGCCCGTCCGTTTGGCCATGCCTCGAGGCACGCATGAAAACTGCTTGCGCGCGAGGTCCTAAGCTCTGAGTGACCTCGTCTGTTGCGTCAAGCTTTAGGTCAGACAAGATCACTACAGACTGTCCAAAAATGAAGTCTTCCCCGATATTTGATTTGGAGCAAATTTGGGTTAATTGATGGACGCTCACCGATCGCACTAACGGAACGCACATCGTTCTGCGTTGGGACTCAATTTCGTATCCCGGCAGCATCCACACAGCGGCCAGGATTGTGAGCAGATGAGTAACTAGAATAATTTGATTTTTCGCCTCACGCCGATAGAATTACGGCCAAATTTGCTCATATTTGCGGCTTTATTTCCTATAATTTCTACCTTCCTGAAATTAAATTGAGACTTTATCGTGTGCTTCTGTTTCCCATTCTAGAATACTGTTGCCCATTCTTCGGTCTAGTGAACGAGTCGAGCCGTTCAAAAATTGAAAATGTCCAAAAGCATTTCACAAGAAAACTCCTATATCCGACACATTCAAATTCTTCCTACTCAAATAGTTGTAAGCTAAAAAAACTAAAATGTATTTGTGTCAGGAGATTCGAAGCAGATTTTGGCGACCTTTTCGCCTTAATCATAGTTCAGATTTCCCCAAGCTTTCTGTCCTCACCCCGGCTAGTTGTCTTTACTACCTAAGAAATTGTACACTGATTATACCTCCTCTTACATCCTCCTCTTGCAAACGCTCTCTACTCTTTGCTTCTAGGTATAGATTTCTTTGGAATAACTTGCCAATTGAAATTAGATTGTTAACTAGTCTATCTGCTTTCGAGCGAAGACTGCAGATTTATCTCAACACTGATTCTATTAACCTTTTACTCTCTTCATCTTTTCCGAGCAGCCTTCTCCATGACTCCGAGAAAGGACCGTCGGGAATTTGAGAGACCTACTTGAAAGGATTTTCTCTGCCTCGTGACCCCCAAGAAATACGATGTCTCATACCACTAGTCCTTCAAACGATGGAAGTCATACGGACGTACCCAGTCTAAACTGTTCCCGTTTGGTTGGCTACTAACCATCACCAGAATTCCATTTTGACTCCTGAGATGTCGGGACCCGACGTCAACTGATGCTATTCCGCGAGATTTCACGCGCATTAGCGATCACGAGCGAACTATCTATTTGGCTCATTATCTCATTGTGAACTGCTATTGTAGTGGTAGCAGCCTATTCTATCCCCCTATCTTATTTTCCTAAGCAATATTTTCTCCTATAATATTTTTCAAAATGGAGGCCCGTTGAACGCTGCCGTCGTTTTCGGCGTGGAAGTTTTTTCTTATTTGCCTATTTCTTAGTTTACAATAAATTTCAAAACATCGCTGACTATTGCCCTAAAAGGACAATTTCTGCATACATTATTACAAATTTGTACATTGTATCTGCGCGCATTGTCATAATTTCACGCCGATACTAAGTTTGTTTAGATAGTTTCTTCCTGGCGCTAGTAAATATAAATTCTAAATAACATTAGAACGCCTAATAGTTCAACCAATGTAACCAACCCCACAGGAGCAAGTCAAATTGCACATACACACTGAAGTGGCGTCTATCCAAGCGCATGCGAGAGCACCACCATG